ATAAAAGATGGCAACGCCATGAATGAGTACAGCAGGCTGCTTTTAAATACAGATGTCACATCAATACAAAAATACATTCATACTAATTTATGTTTGAAAATTAAATCAATACTTTATTTTTCTATTGCTTTGTTTTTATTTAAATGTGTGGGTTATTTGGCCACAAACCAAAACTACTTGAGCAGTCAGTGGTTTTGAGGATTGCACCTTTTAGGATCACAAACAGATGAGAAAAGATAAATTACCCACCCTTAATTAAAAACCTTTTATCTTAGTGCAGTCTTAAACACAATTTTACAAAGTGCTTTCATTTACCCATCTATACATACAAAACAGTCACTGCCATTAGGAGAAAATAAGGAGACAAACCCCTGAAAAACAGCCCCTTAAACAGGTCGACATGCTGCAGATCAAGTTGCAATGTTGATCAAATAGATTGGTCTTTCTAGAAGGGCTGAACAATTAATTGCATTTGCAATAATATCGCAATATGCTAAAACAAGATTTTCTAATCGCAAATGCTGCGATTTGACTCGTCACATGATCTGGTTACGTGACTTGCAAGTGAACGGAGCGGAGCAAAGCAGAGCAGGGAACGGGAGAAGTCAACACTGCGCTTTAACTGGTTTCACAATGGTGTCAGGCTTGACAGAAGCTCATACATCTGTACTACTACAGTATGTGTTGTCATCATTGTATGTTCCCATTCAAAGATGAAATTGGTTCTCTGCATTTAACCCATTGCACCTGGGATACACCCAGGTGGAGCAGTGGGCAGCTATGTAAGCACCCGGGGAGCAATTCGGGATTAGGTGTCCTGCTCAGAGACACCACGAGATGTGCAATGGCCAGGGATTGAACCCAGGACCTTCGGGTCACGAGTTGGCTGCCCTGCCCCTACACCACCTCGGCCCATACTGAAAGTTTGGTACCAAAGAGCGGCAGCACGTCCGTTGTTTGGAATTATTTTTGCTATAAAAATGAAGACGCTGCACAACGACATGCATTGTGCAGAACCTGCTTTGCTGCTGTTGCTACCTCTCGAGGTGACACCACAAATCTTTATCAACACTTAAAAAACACCACAAAGCCATTTAAGAAGCAAACGACAATGGCCAGTGCTTCAACTTAAAGTAAGCAAAGTACCAGCCGACAGGGTTCACCGACCAAATGTTTTGAAGGTATTACTCCATACGAACATAATTCAAACGGTACGTGGAAATAGCTCGAGCAATAACGGAGTTCATAGTGAAAGACATGATGCCCATTAATATAGTGACCAAGCCTGGGTTTACAGCTTTGGTAAACACAATGGATAAGCGGTCCAGAACGCCCTCACGCACACATTTTAGCCAAGTTGCTATCCTGGATCTATACAAAAATAATGCAGAAACAGAGCTGCAGCAGAGTTGAAAACAGTGGAGTTTTTTTTTTTTGCAACTGAAACAGATTTATTGCTTGTGATCATTGAAAAAGACATGAGAAGAAGACATTGAAAAATAATTACATATTAAATCGCAATATTGAGGTAAAAAAAAAATCGCAATTAGGATATTTTCCAAAATCGTTCAGCCCTACTTTCTACCATGTACTCAATCTTAAAAAGGATAAAAAGTAACATCTTGCAAACTGCCATATTTAAGAGATATTTAAAATGGCATCAAGAAACTGAATTTTACTGCATTTGCAGCGTAATCACATTTTCAAAGCAGCTGTATTCTGGTTAACTGTGCTATGTCGTGGAAACAATTGGACTGAGAGTCATTGTTGGGCCAAAACAGAAAAATGTCATACTTAATTCTTTGTGCCCACACCCTTCTACCCCAGATCTCCACTTCCTGCATGTCAAAAGGTTGAGGTTTCCACAAAATGCTGTACCTCACATGGTTGACTAATGTCCAACGCACTTAGCTCTGACATAACTCAGCCCCAGATGTGTAGAATCAAAAAGCAGAGGGCATTCAGAGCAGTTGGACACCACTTCACTTTGTGTGATAGTGATAGCTGTGACATTAAGATCTGCTGGGTGTTTCTTTTATGCCTGGTTTAAACGCTGGTTTGTGTCAGTGCAGCTCCCCAAAGACCCTGTTTGAGTACTCGGAGCAGCGGAAAGTAGAGAAAACAGCAAAGAGAAAGGTCCTTAGGTTTCACAGCTGCAGACCCAGCTCTGTTCTAAAGTAAATGGACTTGAGGAAAACCAATCCTAATTGATTCCAAACCTCAAAGCTCTTTAGTAAACATTGTGGAGCGATGAAAATGACTTGTTATCCTAATTCATTGGACGTTCATACTGTGCACTCAGCAGTGTAGAGCAAGGAAAAAAGAGGGCAGATAAATGTGTGATGAGACTGATTTTGTCACGTTCAAAACAGCAAATGTTTTAGGATTTAAAATTTAAATCGCCATTGCGAAAAATTGTCTCTCGGTCTTTTTCAATCGCTCAGTTAAAAACCAAACAAGATACCACGTATTTTCAGTTGTGCTTCAAAGGAGTTTTCCAAAAGACCCAGCAAACTACAACAGATCAAAGTCCTCATTTTGGGGGTTTGACGGGATAACAGGCCAATTAAAACTTGTCAGAGAATCACAGATCTGCTTGTATGACTCTTTCAGGAAAGAGCACAGCTCACTTGTGAAGCCTATTTCTTATAGGAAGTCCCCATGAACAGTCTGCGCACAAAGACTTTAGTTCAAATGGTTTCCTGTGGAAGCACTAGTTTTCTCACTCCATTTTCCTGCTTATGTGAACATTTCCAGCTCATTTTTGCCTTGACTAAGCCTACTCTTCTTATTAATGCTCAGGATTCCACCATCCTTGCAAACAAATAACTCTTACGCAAGCCCAGTACAACTCAGCAGCTCAGAGTTTTCTTCAAATAATGTGCACACACGTGCAGAGCTGCTGCTGCATACCGGTCGAAACGTTCAACTCACTACAATCCTGATGGTGTTATTAATAATGCAAGCTGTCAGGTGACGTGGTGAGCCTGTGTTTTGGTGAAGGAAGGAATTTATAACACCAGGTAAACTCAGGTGAAGCAGGCCCAGCAAAGTCTCTGTTACTGCAGTGATTGCTGCTCCTCCGAGGGGATGAAATTCCATCCCTGTGCTCAACAAAGAGCCTGATGAGGTGTCAGTCTGGCTTAGTGATGGGCCTCCCATCCAATATTCACCAGCTCCTTGAGCTATAAATCCACCGAGGACAAGTTCAACGCAAAGCCGGCCTAACACCAAACCATCTCAATGTTTAACAAGAGAAACTACATTTCCTGCGAAAATGCAGTGTGAATGCTTATTGCAGAAGAACTTGCTGAAAAACAGCTGAAATTAGCTAAAAACATGCTGAAATGGAAGAACAAGCCTAAGTAAGCAGAAGAAAGCAGAAAGAACACTGTTGAATTGGGTTTAAATAAAAAGAAATTATCACAAAATATTGTAAATTTTCCAAAAATGCTTAAATTAGCAACAAACAAAAACAAGGCTGAAAAGTGGCTGAAAAGGCAGCAGGAAATGGAGAAAGCACGATTGTGTCCAATTAGGCTGAAAGAAGCAGAAATGCACACCAAAAAGTGGAAATTATCTGAAAAAAGCAGAAAAATGTAAAAAATAAAAATAAAACAGCTATATAGTAGCTGAAATAACATAAATAGTTGAAACTTGTAGAAACAGGCTGAAAGAAGCATAACAAGCTGAAATTAGCAGAAAGAAGTTTGAAGAAGCTAAAAAATGTTGTAGTTAGCAGAATAAAGCAAAAAGGTGCACAAAACAGCTGAAAAAAAAACCCAGCTGAAATTTGCTGAAAATAACTGATATTTTTTTTGTTTGTTTTGCAGAAGAAAGCTGAAAGAAGCTGAACCAGAACAAAATATGAAAGGAGCAGTAAAAGGTTGTAAACAGATCTAAAGATTTGAAGGATATAAAATGAGTTCAAGAGAACAAAATGGCAGAAAAGGCTAAATATTTCAAAGAGCTAATGTTGCACCAATAACTACTATCAGGATTGTCCTGAAAGGGCTGAACGTTTTGACAAATGATTTGTTGAAATGGCACAAAATTGTGGAACGAGAAAGATGCTGAAAAACGTACGGAATAGTTTAAAGATCTCAGAATAATAAATATAAACAGAATCACAATAGTGTGAATGCTTAATAAGCATTCATACAACTAGCTCACTATAGGCCTGGTTTATAATGTCAAAAGTCCTGGTACAAGTAGGAAGGTGGCTGAGGTTAGAACATATTGAAGTAATAAGTTTAGATGAGGATTCTCATAAGGACAATGAAGATTGAAGAAAAAAAGAGAAGAAAAACAATACCTAATATTGTTTTATCATTCATAAAGTGCTTCCCATGGCCTCAGTGTAGATAGCACAGGCTATAATTTTTTAAACTTCATGAACACTCAAAACCCTAAACTCTGAATGTGTTGATGAAATAGCATACCACACGGTTAGCATGTTCTCTCCATCTGCAACTGTATCAGAGAAACAGAGCCCTAAGGTGGCTGACATTCCTATACACTCAAAAGAACTATTTTAGAGCATGAAATGCTAAACTCTTGTAAAAGCAGTCACGGCTGAGGCTTCAACAATGACCTCATCAAGTCCTCTGGGACGCTGTTTGGCATGCTCTGCTGTGGGACAATACTGAATGAACAGCAAAACATGAATTGCTGGCCCCACATACACAGCTCTAAATGTAACTAAACACTGAGATTACCTCAGAGACTGCAGAGGGATGACAGCTGGCATGAACACAAAGGGCCCAGGCTTGGCCTAAAGCTGTCACTGTGACAAAGGCACACTTGAGGTGAGAGGACGCAATCTGCCACTTGTCAGATAATTCTCAGTCTGTCAGCAATTTTCACATGTTGACATAACAAACATTTATATGGAAAAACAAGAAATGAAACCAAAATCTACTAAAGTGCATTCCTTTGTTTCTAGCTGTTGTGTCACTTTACGGGATTGGTTTTATTTTTTGGCTTTGTGGTTCACTCACCCTATCTGTCTATTTGTGGAAGGAGCCTGAGTGATAACGGAGCTGGACTGAGGAGAGGGCAGGGCCTGCTGGATCACTATGCTGGTATCATGACTGACCATCCGTGAGAGGGGCTGCTGGTGCTGACCCTGACCTGATTGGCCGTGCAGTGAGATGTTCTGCAGAGAAGAAAAGTGGAAACAAGCAAACAGCATACACAAGGTTAGAAATGTGAGAATAGCTAATCCTCCATAGCTAGTTAATAGAACAACGAGCAAAACGGTTGGTCGCTGGTCTCACATACATTCAGCTCGAGTCTATGATGAAGAATAACTACCGTATTTTTCAGACTATAAGACGCACTTAAAATCTAATTTTCTCAAAAATCGACAGTGAGCCTTATAATCTGGTGCGCCTTATGTATTAATTCTGGTTGTGCTTACTGACCTCCAACCAATTTTATGTGATTATTGTGAATGAGTTGAATAAAGTTTGACTTATTTGACTGTTTTTTTTTTTCGCTTAATGCAACTTATGTATGAAAACAGACCCGTTCATTGAGATTGTGCCTTATAATCCGGTGTGCTTTATAGTCCGAAAAATACGGTATCAGCTTCACTGGGTTTTGTTTGGGACAAACCGAGATTCTAAAGAAAAGCAGATTTTCTGGAAGCTCTTTTTTTTTCTTTCTTTTTTTTTATAACTTTGTCATCTATAATAATCCATGTTCCAAAACAAATATGTCCTTGTATAGTTTCATTACATTTTGTGAAGGTGTTTTTTTTTGTGCATGACCAAAATAAATACAAAACTAAACAGAGCAAAGAGTTGTGCTGTATGATGGCGGAAATGAAAAAGAAAACATTTGCAAATTTTTACTAACTAAATACCATCATTGTAATGTTGTGCAGTACATGAATGTGCAACTTATTTTTCATTTTTATTGACTTGCACATTTTTTTTGTACTTTTGCTGCTTATCTCTGCCTATTGTGTGTTACACTCCCACATCGTCTTGCTCTGACTCGCCTCCTGCTGACTTAGCAGTGTCTCCCATCGTAAAACACACAGGATAGACATGGCTGACCTGAGCGCAGACGAGCCTCAGAGACAACGGCTTAGCTGCAGCATGCACTGCATATCTTCCCAGACATTAAATAAGCAGTCTGTCTTGTGGTGATTTGACTAGTACCCATGTCTCAGGTGAAAGTGCCTCAGGGCAGCCCTTTAAGGCATAAAAGATTACGTCCTTTGACAAATGTAACTTTTTTTTTCTGGACTCTCCTTTCATTATGTTTAGCCAGTCTGTCTGGTTTTGCTAGCGCTGCCAAAATTTCGTCTCAGGGGTTCTGGTTTTATTTCTTGGAAGAAATATGACTCCCTCCCTGAAAAGTTGTTTGAAGTTACAGGTGACGAACCCGATCTCTGTTCTCTTTACCAGCAGTGGGTGACATCCACCAAACTTATCTGTCGGGACTGACAAGACAAAATGAGGGGAAACAAAGTGCTGCATCTGGGACTCAATGAAAAGTTGATGGGTAACGCATGAACATATTTTAAAACCAAAAGAGGCAAAATATAGAATGTAATAATAAGAGTGTAAAAACACTTGCAGCTATTGGCCGTTTTTTTTTTTTTAAGTCAGCATTGTGGTTATGAGGAGATTCTAATGTATTTAGTGTTTTATCAGCTCACAGAGCTATTTGTAACATGATGGATGATGGCACTAGATAGTGGTTCAACACCTGTCGATGGCTGCGGCTTTGGATAAAAAAAAAAAAAAAAGTTTTTACTCTGGGGCTATGTTAGTTTGCAGTACCTGTTTACTGTCCTCCTCTTCTTGGGCCTTGCAAAACTCTTGCTCAATTGAGCAGTCCAGCTCACTAAACAACCCCACCTCTTCGCAGTTCTTCAAAAAGCGAGTAGGAGTGGGCGTCTGGTCTGGAAGTAAAAAAAAAAAACCAACGATAATTGTCAAATTGTTGCTTTTGTTAAGCTATCTTTGCACCAAACGTTAAAAAAAACTAAGAAACATGCAAAATGTGAAAAATCCACACATTACCTTAAACTATTTTCCATAATTTTTCATTAGTTTGACTCTTTAGTTTTATTTATAAATAGCATCAAGAATATTATTAGTTGGTTTTGCTGTAAGTCGCAGCTAGTGGAATGACAGAACTAAAAAAAAAGTACAGTAAGCTAATGCACAACACTGCACCATATCCACAGAGTTATTAAGATAATACGTTACCGTTTTGTTTATGTGAATCGTGAATAAACTAACAACTTTTAAACACACTATTCAAGATCCACACAAAGATGTACATTACTGTCACATACGCTCTTTGACAGCCTCATGTTTCTGCTGACAAAGAACAGATTCCTGAGTGGGGTCTCGTTTGCTGAGCCCAGACGAGCTGCACAATCCAGCCTAACATTATGGGGGAGGGGGTTGCTCCCATATCAGGTTTCAGACAGTGGAAGGTACCGTAATTTTTTACGATCATGGTTGTTTTAAAGGTTAAATGTATATTTCTTGGTGGGTTTATTCATAACGTCAGAATTCAGAATGGAGACTTGAACTTTTAACGTAACACGTTTACCCAAAAGTTCAGATTATTTTCACTTTAGAGACAGAGAACGTGAATAAAGCACAATTAAATGAACTATTGTGCTGCTTTTAGTTGATACTATGAGTTGGTGAAAAGCAAATGCATCAGCTGTTATACTAGTAAACATTACTGACAATTTTGGCTTCAGTATGTATGACTGAATGATATAACTGTTGACTATTTTTTCCCCTGTGTTCAACACGTATAGAGAAGCTGGCATTATTCAGACGGCAGGGAAACAAGGCACGCAGCCAAGAGAATTTGATCCTGTTGTCCAAACAGTTTTTATAATAAAGAGAACCCAATCCGCTTTAGCCACAGTGGTTTGCTATAGAGTCCAGTCAGAGATGCTTCTAGGAAAGATCTATACTTATGGATTAGTTCGGCATGACACTTGACTCCACATTTATGTGCAGATTCTCCCTCTCTCGGCTCTTCCAGGCTTCGTTTATAGTGCAAATTAACGTCACCTCAAATGACTGAAATATGCTCATCACCCAAAACACACGAGAGCAGAGATTTAGCAGAAAACGCCAATTTGTCCACCTCTACTTCAGCGTGCCTATATCCTGCTGAAACGTGAACAGCTGGTACGCACTGCAAGGAACTGAGCCGAAGGCTAACATGCCTTCAGATTTACATTACTGTAAACAGCTTGTGCATGACTTGCCATAAAGTTTTTAATGACAGACAAGTATGTGTGCGCATGAATCACCTTGGCACACATCTGCAGAGAAAAGCCTGGCTCTGATCTAGCAGAGAAAGAGTCTGTATGGATGCTGGCAGAACTTACCAGATAACATGTTGTCGTTCTTTATTGCAGGGAACTTTAGGGTCATCTCATGTTTGTGTCGATGAATCATCAGATGGTCCTCTGTTGGAAATCGCTGTTTAGATGGTAAGAATGACAAGTATATAAGAATCATCTTGACAAATAAATAAATAAAAAATACAGTAGTCCCTTGTTATCGTTGGGGATCCGTACCCTGAATCCCCGCCATAAGTGAAAAACCGCGAAGTAGGAATACAAGTTCAAGTAGTAGTTTATTTTAGTATATACATATATAAAGGCGTTTTAAACACTTCCCACACTCTTGCAATATTCTAAACAATGTTTCTAAACTCTAAACACTCTAAAAGAGCACAGCATGTCATGCACTCTGCACTCTTGGCCACGCCCACTTCTCCACTGCAGAACAGAGATCGACAGAGGAGGGAGGAGGAGGGAGGAGGAAGTTTCTCCTGCAGTGTGGGCTGCACACAGGTGCAGCAGGTGCTAAATAATTTTAAATGCTGGTAATTTATTTTAAATAAAAATTCCATGCCCATCGTGCAGCTCATCCATCACTCAGCCAGTTATATGTCATGTCCAATCTTATTTTGAAAACTGCAATAGATTGAGTCCGTAAAATGAACTGCAAAGTAGCAAGGGACTACTATAAAAGTCTTGAGTCCTTCCTTTTAATATTTTACTTCTGAGCAGACTTTTGTGTTAATTCTTTCATTTGGTCTTTATATCCATCTTTATTATCTTTACCTGCTTATTTCTTTTCGGGTCATGGGGGTCACTGGTGCCCATATACAGCAGTAACTGTGTAAAAAATGGGGGACACCCTGGACAGGTCTCTCAGTCCATCACAGGGCCACATAGAGACAAACGAGACAAACAACCATTCACTCTCTCACTCGCACCTAGAGACAATTTAGAGTTACCAATCAGCCTAACATGCATGTTTTTGGTCTGTGGGAGGAAACCGGAGTACCCGGAGAAAACCCACACATGCACAGAGAGAACATGCAAACTCCACCCAGAAAGACCCCGGATCGGGATTTGATCCAGCAACTTTCTCACTGAGAGGCAACAGCTCTACCAACTGAGCCACGGTGTGTCGATCCATTTGGTCTTTATTTAAAATGTATTTAAAGTTTTCAGGTTTTTGAAAGTTTTTCATAGTTTTTGTTTGAACTTTGGCTGCCATATGTCTCACTTTCAGTCCAGAACTTAACAATTTAATAAAAACATTTGTGTGTTAAGTTACTGACTCATCCAGAGAAAGAAAGCTCCTCAATTAAAACAATGAACCAGGGATGTAACATAACACAAACCTTAGTTAAAAAAAAAAGATTTTAAATAAAATCTTGATATGTTGTTAGTTGTTTCACAAAAACACAATTTGTTCCTCGTTCTTTAGTTGAGTCTATGAAAAACGATAATGCAGTTTGACACATGAAATAGTAGTTTAGCACAAACAAGGTGAATTTCAAAGAGCAGAGAAACTGACATAGATGGTTAACTGAAGAATGATGTCAGCTCCAGTGTCAGGATTTTTTTTTTCTGTTTCTTGAAGACACAACTTTCAGATACTGTCCATCTGCTGTTGACAATATTTTAGGCCTGACACGTCCTCTTAAGCCCCCATTTATTCACATTTTGTTCACACACCACACAAGATGCTGCCATGATTTAACACAAACAGCCAAATCCCCCTAAAAAAAATGTTTCCAAAACCCAGAGAACCAACTTTTGCCCTGTAAATAGTCACACACTCACCTGAGAACAGTCAGGGGCGTTGCACACATATGGCCTTTCCTGGTCTGAGTTCATCCCTCTGGCCAGCGTCTCATAAAACTACAACCAAAGACACGAAAGAGCAGAAATGAGCACTGAATGATCCAAGTGTGCATGGCAGCATCTTAGAGGAGAAATACACGTCTTTTGTCACCGCATTGTGCCACAGCACCTGTGCTCCTCTGAGCTGGCATACGCTGCAAAAGCATTAAGAGCAAAAAATAATAATAATCTAATATGAGTCATTTCAGTAGAAGCTTCTATATACTGGCAGCAGAATATTTAAATAGATATGGTTTATAAGATGTGGAATAACCATACTCTTTTAACACACTCCAGATTTATTTATTACCACCTTTTGCATGTGTGTAGCACTTTAAAATAACTCACCGATATATATAATTTATATTTTTGTTGTGCTTACTGTGCATCAGAACAACTACAAGGAAGTCTGGCCTAAATTTAAGCAAAAACTCATAAATTATGTTTGAAACATGCAGATTAACCACCCAGTATTTGCCTAATCTAGAGTGTTTTCATATATTTATCCTCAAAACAAAATGACAGAATATAGTTTTGCGTTGATCTATAAAGAATCTTAAAGTGACTAAATGAAACTGAAGATGTTTTAATCCAATGAAATTAGTCTTCGTGTTTAGGCATCAGTCATATTCATGTTTAAAACTTGTTTGATTTGATTTGATGGTAAATTTGTTTGATAGTGCCACAGAAAAGCGGCAGAGAAAACAAAAGGCTGGATAAGTTATTTGATCTAAAAACTGCGCCTTTAAAACAATATGTTCCTAATGCAGACTGTGTATTTTAGGAGTTTGTGTTCAATTTCTGAAAGCCTTAATCTTGCATCGCATCAAAGGTAAAATGTTTGAGCTATCTGCTTAGCTTTAAAGAGGAAACAGGTGGGAAAATAGCCTTAAAGCGCTGCTTTTTACTTAAACAAATTACACAAATGAAATCAAAGTATTCTAAATAAAACGAAAGCTAATTATGTAAATGTCATCGTACTCCTCAGTTTCTGCTTGAAAACAAAATTGTGCAAAATATAAAAAAAGATCTGCGTTAAACACAATTTATACAGTTTATACTAACAGTTATTGCAAAGGGGTGAAATAATATAGATTTTAGCAACGTAAGTAAAAAAAGACAAACACAAACTGGTTTGTTCTTCAGTCATGCGTGACTTTTAAGGACTTTATCGGACTTCTGTCACATGAATCAGTTCAGCTGTTCCGGCTTTAAAACATTATCTTGATAAAATGCCAAATTGTTCCTGCCCAAATATGAACTCTAAAATTCTTGTGCACAAAAAAGGTTTAGTGTGCAGGAAAAGTAGAAATGTAAAAAGGTAACGAATGCTGACCATCAGCAGCCAAAACCAACACCTGCGTGAAAACACGTGCACTTTTAAACACCAACGGTGAAATGGCAAACGCTGTAAAGGTTTTAAACTATTATCTAATCTTTACATTATTATTATATAAATATTTAATTTTAATCACTGACTTCATTGTCTTTTATACTCAAGTACATGCTGTAGATCAAGGGTGTCCAAAATGTGGCCCGAGGGCCATTTTTGGCCCTTAGAGTGATTTTGTGCGGTTCACGACTGCAATTAAAGAATTGAATAATTTTGATCCACATGCTTAAAAGGTTGATGCAGATGTAGATCTTATTTACATTTAATGGTGATACTTTTTAAAATTTTAGGTTTAACAGCAAAACAGATTAAAATAATCTTCTCAAAATGAGCGATATTTAGTACAATACAAATATTTAGCTATAATTAATCCAATTATCCAAAAACAAACCTTCAATGACCTGCCAAAAAGTAGAATTTTGTATAATAATTCATAAAACTTAGTTAAATTTAACAAAAGTTGTAAAAAAAACTATAATTTCAATTGATTTAAAAATCAATAGGGAGAAATTGAACCTTTTTAAAAAATATATAAAGTGGTATCATCAACATACAAGCTAATCGACTTTATCAGTGTCCCTTCAAACCGTCCATGAATCTGTTTTAGCGATGGTTTTTCAGAACTTCGATGACTCTTTTGGGCCATCCATGGTCCAAATGAGTGATTGAAGTTCCACCACCTTTTTTTTAAAGAACAGTTACTCAATTTAAGCTTTTGTCTCAGAAAATAAATGAAAATGAACTTTCCAAGCACAATAAAACAAATAATAGACCCCAATAAAGTGAATAAATTAAATTCTTAAATTAAAAAAAGGTTAATGTTTATGAGTCCCCTAATGTTCTGGAGCTACAAGAATTTAAACTAAACTTTTAGCAATTCTCCAAAATATTGTTCAAGTTGCTGAGAGTTTCAAAATGGGAGGTGTAAAGCTTTGTAAAAAATATATATATTTTCATAAATTCACATTTTTCTGGCCCGCGAGTCCGTTCAGCTACACAGTTGTGGCCCACCTATGAAAACGTTTGGACACCCCTGCTGTAGATCAGCTAAAGGAAAAAGTTTAGCTCAGGACTGTCGTCACAAAGCAAAGAACTAAAATTCAGTGTTCTTTGCATTTCCCATCATGAAAGTACTAACTATAGATCCTGCTTCGAATTTCAAGGTTTTTCTTATAATCCAGCATGATAGCATCACACATTAACACGCACAGAAAGACATGTTGTTCCAGATGTTTAGTGAGTATTAGTATTATTATTAATCCTCTCTAAGGAGCAGGAACAAAAAACAGAACCTCAGGAGCATTCAGGCCGTAGCCAGCTTTTTGTTCACTGCGCAGGTAGATCATTGGACACGCAACGTGCACGCAGCAAAGCTCAAAATAAAAAATAACGCTTCAGCCCAAAACACACAAAGAGCACGTGAACTGGGAGTTTGTGAGACAGTTAATAAACTCTTGAGTACACAAATTAAATCACGTAAGGGTGTCTGGTTGATTTTGGAAAGAGGGCATGTGTACAAAAAGATAAACGCTCTTTTAAAGCACTTCGGGGGGAAAAGCAAACTGAAGATATTCATGGAGTAAAGTAGCTCAAAAGCAAACTTTTGGGACTTTCTCCTCTCCTCACATTTTCAGTATATCAAAACTAATTCTCCCCGTAGACTCATAAATTACAATATTCACATTATATTCAGATTTATTATAGAAAATATACATGAATAGACTTTTTTCTACAGTAAATTGACATATATTGACACAGATCTGTAACTTTTTTAACACCGTCCTTCAAAAATTAAATATGAATACTTTGATGGTGTATTTTTATTTTATGGGTACAAACTATTTCCTCTAAAGTTCAGTCTAAACACTCTAATATTGTGTTATGTTAAGCAGCTGTGTTTTCTCAGCACGCTGCACTTTATGACCAAGCCTGTGGACCCGGGTCTGGACAGGGTCTCTCTGTCAGGGAGCAAGAAACCCAGGTCTCTTTTTCTTTCACCAGTGCACTCAGTCTCCTCTGCAGGGTCGCTCGAAGCCCACCTGGGCTCCTCTGACACAACAAATACGACCAACGGGGCTCATTCAAAACCTCAACTCCAACTAAACAGAGTGACAGCAGCAGCTTGTGCCTGCAGATGTGTTCCTGCTTATACGTGGATTAAATGCACTGTTTTTTTTACCACATTTATCATCTAAAGTTTTCACTTTTAGCTGTTTGCACAACTCTTCTTGCTACATTTGTTTTCCGTTCTATAACGACTTCTTGAAGCCTTTCACTTTAAAATAAAGTAGAAAATAATCTTATAAGAGGGCCTTAATAAAAGTGGGAGAAAATCCTCCACAACTGTTAGAGCTAATGCAAAAAGTGCACTTTTTATTCCTGTTTCTATGTCGAAAATTGGACTTGATCATTCAAGCACATTTACAGGGAAATTCAAACCATATGACGCATAAAACTCAACCATTAATTCTGTGAAAAGCCTCTGTGAATATTCCAATTGCTTTCACACTTCACTTTATCAGTACTCAACGCCCTCTCCCTAGAAAAAAAAATGGCACTTGGCTCCAATTTTATTGTAGATGTTTTTAGTTTAGCAAAGGAAATTTACGTAGACTTTACATTAACTATATCCTGATGTGTGTGAGCCGAAGGATTTAGAGTCCAGCATTCGATTTCAAGAGGAACTTGGGAGGAATTCTCCAGGTAGACCTCGCGTTCAAATTTAAACAATATGGCAAAGCAACGAGGGGTTGAGGTGAGAAGGCATATAGGGTTAAGAAAGGCACCAACACGCAAAGCAATTCAGATCTATAGCTTCAAATAACTGTAACGTTTGACAGCCCAAGTTTAAGGTAGGACTGAAAGTCTGTCCCAAACCTCCGATTTTGAGGCAAGTGCTTAACAAAGGACCTTTTGTGAAGTTCAATTAATTGTTCGTTTCACAGCTTGCAAATTTAAAAGAAAAGCCAGGTCACCATAACTCATAGGCCAAAGTCATGACAAAATTTGTGAACGTTTTGAAATAAGGACCCCCAAACGTTAAAGTGAAACGACTTGGCTGGACTGTTACAAGGTTTTAGCACAATCATTACCTGCTCGCATGAAACAAGCATCAACAAATAAACTCAGTTTCACATTTCACTCGTGCAATCAGCCACTCTGCAATCAGGCATAAAATATGGAAAGAATCTGCGCCAAGGTCACTTTCACTGAAACAAGTTACAAATTTAAGACTCGTCACAGTTTTTACTTTAAAGTACTTGTTTTTATTCGCTGTTGCGCAATAACCTGTTACACAACTTGTATAGTTTATGCTACTTATGTGCAATTTATATCATGTGAATTTAAGCTTATATACTGTGAAATACACATTTAAACAAATTCATCCTACTTGCACCATTATATTCCATGTTGTTGTTGATTCTATTTATGTTTCACTTTTTGGTACTTTATTTTGTCCCCTTATTGCATTTAGTATTTCTTGTTTCTTTGTTTTTAGCAAGTCAAATCTGTTTTTCTCATCCTGAACATTTCATTGTACCTTGTGTTAACCTTCATCCATCCATCCATTTTCTTTACCCGCTTATTCCATTTTGGGTCACGGGGGTCGCTGGTGCCCATGTCCAGCAATCACTGTGCGAGGGGCGGGGTACACCCTGGACGGGTCGCAAGTCCATCACAGGGCCACATAGAGACAAACGAGACAAACAACCATTCACTCTCTCACTCACACCTAGGGACAATTTAGAGTTACCAATCAGCCTAACATGCATGTTTTTGGACTGTGGGAGGAAACCGGAGTACCCGGAGAAAACCCACGCATGCACGGAGAGAACATGCAAACTCCACCCAGAAAGGCCCCTGGACCGGGGTTTGAACCAAGGACCTGCTCGCTGAGAGGCAGCAGCTCTACCAGTTGCGCCACCGTGCTGCCCCTTGTGTTAACCTGCACATGACAAATAAACAACTTCACTTAACTTGTGGTATATTTTTCTTCGGCACTTGTTATTTAATCTTTGTAATATTTTGCGCCGGATGAAAACAGGCTCATTTAGTTAGTTAGTTAGTTAGTTAGTTAGTTTAAAAGAATCTGATAGCTGAAAACAAGATTGTTGTTCCTGTTATAGTTAAGTGCAAAGGAGTCAGCTGTTATTCTTTTTCTCAAATAACCTTTTAAAAAAAAATAAAAATCAGCCACTAAAAGGGTCCTATATCTCACTTTACATTAAAAGGCCACATTCATTGAAATTCAAGCCAGCATCACCCTCATGCACGCTCATTTCCAACTGTTATTAAGGCTACAAATCAAGAGGGAAGATTCAAAAAAAGGCCCAGACAATAATTAAAGGGTGCATGAAAGGACAAGTGGTTATTGGCAGTGCTGTCACATAAACATGATGACAGCGGCCGAGAAGCAATCAAATAATTAAAGCTTGTTTCTTGCTTTCAGGCCACAAAGCGCGCGCCTCGTCAGCACAACCTTCCTGAAAGTAACCCTCATCATCCCAGCGGTTAATCAAACAGGCCTATCGACTGCAGAATGACGTCATGTTGCTCACATTCCCGTTCAAGGAAAAATGAAAAAGAATAACGATGAAGGGAAATTGTCTGCGTGTTGCTTCTTTGTAACTGGAGGCTCGTGCGGTCCGACTCGTCCCCGAACCGGACCAGGATGCAGCTCAGACTCAACTTGTGGGAAACTGTTGTGCAAATGTTTCGTTCTTGTTGTTGTTGTTTTTTGCACGAATCCCGTTTGAGGTTCGAAGTGTCGGGTGATGAATTCCTGCAGACTCGTGCGACCTGACAGACAGCCCGAGCTGCAGCCGCACTTGACTCCGCGATCAACTTCAACAAACACGAATATTAAGCAGCTCCCGGACTCCCAAGTGTCATGGCAATGCGCTCCCTCAAACCCAAACTACAGCTCCGAACCGCTTCAGTTAGTGTGGAAAAGGAGATTAAAAAAAAAAAACAACCCGGAGAGGATCAACTTTACGAAAGCGAACAACAAAACAAGCTGTTGCATGAAAACAAGAGGAGGAAGGGGAGGAAAAAAGAGGAAAAAATGGCTTTGAAAGTCAACAAACCTGCAGAGGCTCGTGCACGAGGGTCTGCATGGTGGTGAGGCGTTCAACTTACCAACCGAGTGCAGAAAATGTGAAGCAGAGTCTCTCACCAGCAAACCACGTTGGACTGAGAAAAGATTACAATACGATCTATTTAGAGAACCATAACGTCACCCTTGGGTGACGTCACGTGGGATTCCTGAACTTCTAAATCATTGCGGTCCCGCTCGGAGGCGGGGCGAGCGGGGAGGAGGGGCGGGGCTTGCAATCCCTCGCCCAGCAGCATGGATGGAGCTGGACCACGGTGAACGGGACGGGTGGGCGGACCGGACACCGCTGGTCCCGGGCTGGGTGTGGTGTAACTAACTCCACACCCACTGTTAGACAGACAAACAAACATCCTGACAGGCCTGAGCTGTCCCATAAACTGAGCAGCATCAGGAACATTTATCAGAGGATGTGGCCACTTAAAACATCACCTAAAACCAAAATGAAATTATAATAGATGACCCTTCATGGCAGCAACACTGAAATATAAAAGTAGTCTCTTTGAACAACCGCTAAAATTAAAATATATTAGTTACATCAAGCCAACTGAAGACTTTTAGCAGCTTTTGTTTTATGACAATGTGGTCAAATATAACCAGGCTGCAGACTGGTTAAATGTTACCTGAAATAAACAAACAACAACAAAAAAAAAAGAGTTTAGAAATGTTAAACTTAAAAAATATACAAGCAGACTGTTATGATGTCCATCTTTGTGCAGGCAGCATAAAGTTGTTCTTATTGCAGTTTTATTTTATTTCGTAACTTTTGATGGTCTGCACGGAGTTACTGCAGCAAGCAACAAGGTGCCGAGTTTGAAGCTTGGCTGAAGACTTTCTGTGTGGAGTTTGCACGTTTTTCCTCTCTATGACTTGTTTTTTCCCAGCTATTGCATTTTCCTCCCACAGTCCAGAAAAACATGAATGTTACTTTAACCGGTCATTCGAAATTGCCCTTTTAGATTTGAATGTGTGCAATTTTTTGTGTTTTATGCAAGATCAGGCAGGGGGGAAATGGATGAAATCATAGTTTTGTTTGTCTCTGCTTTGATCCACAGCACATTGAACATATGACAATGAAGAGAAGTAGAATTTGAACAAATGTGATGAAGTCAAGTGAACGTTATATCTCTTGCATGTTGAGCTCAGTTGCATGTTTAACATTTTGATGATGTCACGTCTGCCCACTTTTTGATAGATCAAACAATTTCATCCATTTATTTTCTTTGGATGATTTGTGTACATCGTCACATGTTAATTACAGGAACACAAAGGGAAACACACACATCCACACCTAGGGCCCGTTTAGAAATTTTCAATTGATTCAACATGTACATTTGTTGTTGCTGTTGTCATTTGTGCAGCAGGGAGGCACAGTTGGTAGAGCTCTCACCTCTCATCTAAAAGGTTGCAGGATCAAATCTTGTTCTGGGGCCTTTCTGTGAGGAATTTGCCTGGTCTGTCTGTGCACAAATGGGTTTTCTCCAGGTTCTCCAGTTTCCTCACGCAGACCAAAAACATGCATGCTAAGCTAATTAGCATCTATAAATTGCTCTTAGTTGTGAGGGAGAGTGTGAATAGTTGTTTGACTCTGGGTGGCCCTGACTTGAAACCTGTCCAGGATGTACCCCATGTCTCACACAGTGACTGCTGGACATGAGCACCAGCAACCCACATAACCTGGAAAAGAAGAAGCAGATAAAAGATAATGGATGATTACATGGATGGATGTTTTAGGTCTGTGTGAGAAAGCTGTTGGATGCAAAGAAAACTCTGACATGGAGAGGGAGAACGTTCAGAGTCCATGCAGAAATGCCCTGAGCTTCAAACCTAGGACCTGCCTACTGCAAGGCAACAGTACTAACCTGCAGTGCCGTTATTCAGTCCCACAAAAACTAATTTAAAGGCCTATCCCCCACCACCTATCATGCCAAAAGATTTAAACTAAAATCATCTTGCACTGAGACGAACTACAGTTGTTTTAGTCAAACCTTGTAAGTGATGTTATGAATGATTTATGCAATACTGAAGATCTCTCAAAAAGTGATAGTGCTCAGAGTATGAGCATGGTTCACTCTCAGTTACTACCACGTTAAAACTTTAGCCCATTTTCTGATGTAAAATTGAATGAGTTACTTAATTTTGTGTTGGCTAAGATGGATTTACTGTAGTAGCCATCTTGAATTATCCATTCATCCATCATCTTTACCCGCTTCTTTCTTTTTGGGTCACGGGGGTCACTGGTGCCCATATCCAGCTATCACTGTGTGAGAGGCGGGGGACACCCTGGACAGGTCACAAGTCCATCACAGGGACACATAGAGATAAACGAGACAACTATTCACTCTCTCACTCACAACTAGGGACAATTTAGAGTTACCAGTCAGTCTAACATGCATGTTTTTGGTCTGTGGGAGAAAATTGGAGTACCCGAAGAAAACCCACACATGCACGGAGAGAACATGCAAACACACCCAGAAAGGCCCCTGGCCGGGATTTGAACTGGAAACCTTCTCGCTGAGAGGCAGCAGTTCTACCAACTGACCCACCGTGCCGCCCATCATGAATCACCATTTGTTTACTCCAAATCTAAATGTGTTTTAGTTGCACATCCAGTAATTACTTTTTGAACGACTGACTATTCTGTCTAGTGGTTTGCAAGTTATTTTGCTAACAGAGACACAACAGTCTCAAATAGATATTGACAAAGTCACATTAACAGTTAGTGCCCAGTCCATGTGTTGGGAATGACTCTTGGCTACTATTGCACCAAATGTTTACTCAAGATTTGTAAAAGCGGCTAATTGTTTATTAGGTGTGGCAGCCATCTTGAACAGTGTTTACTTCAACAGTTAATCCGTTGTAAATGTGCATCCGCTGATTACTTTCTGATGTTTAATTAAAACCAATTCACTGTTTCAACAGATATTCCGCTAATGCTAGAAACAAACCCACAGACATGGAAACAATTATTTAAAACTTGCCTCCCACCTTTGTTGCTGAGCATACATGTTAAAGTCATGCAGTGCTACTGAAATCTAAGTTTAAAAGTAAATGCAAAGAAGAAGTGCTATAAACATCCTTGGTGTTGAGTACTTTTTAGTTTAGAGCTCCGTGTGACCTGCTGGTGCCAGCAGGCCGTGATTTCTTAGACCACAGACTTTGTTCGCAGTGCAGCCATCCACCGCTCCTTGGGGATTAATGACTCCTCGCACATTGAGAAATGTTTACCACTGGCCTGCGACCACTCCACCAGACACACTAAGAGCTCTGTCACTGAAACAATAACGCAGTCTGAAAAGCCCTCATAACTCAGAGCCTCTCCGCCTCTGTCTTTTAACCAGAGCTTTAATCAACGTTTATGACATCCCTTTGTCTCTTTATTGCCAATATATTTCCTAACCAATCCAAACATTATGCTTCCAGAAGAACAGACTATTGAAGGTTGCAAAGAGCCGATACAGTGTGGGTCAGTGACCCACACTAAAGGGGGTTTGATCTATATTATACTAAGCCTTTTATGATTGTGCCTTTGTGTAAGGCTTTTGGGAAAGATCACCTTGGGATGAAAAGATACAGTGATCATGTTTAGTAGGCGCAAATGCATTAAGTGAAAGAGGTAACACAAATAAAAGTTCAGTTTAAAACCTGCATTTAAAGTTGAATATAACAGTTGCTCAAATAGATGCTCATAGTCAAGTCTTGATTTGAAAACGTTTCTGCGGTAGCAAAAGTATTTTTACACAGTTTTCAGTGTCAAACTTTTTGACAATCCAAAACGAAGACACTTATATGTTCGTGCAGATTGAATTTCATTGCATAACATCAGTAAGTCTTTGTTGACTCTAGATTCTTCAAAATTAAGAGCATCTGCAGCAGGAATTAGTCATAGACGCTGACAGTGTGGGCTATTTTGTCAGAAGATGCAAATATTATATTAATTTGATTATATAGGACTTCTCTATTTCCTAACAATAGTTTGATTATCTGATCAAACAATTGTTCTGTAGTTATATTTTCTGAGTTCACATATGACACGATCATGATGACAGGAGGGCACATAGAAAGATTTGAGCCTGTTTAGCCACAAAATAAAAAAACATAAAAGGGCTGTAAGCTCAATCATCCAGGTACAATAAAAGGTTAAATTGTGTCACCTGGACCAATTTCTTTAAGTGAGAAACGTTTCGTCCCCCTATCCAGAGGACGATGGGGGACGAAACGTTTCTCACTTAAAGAAACTGCTCCAGATGACACGATTTATTTTTTATTATTATAACATCATGATGCTATTAAAGCTCAAGTGACTAATGTAAACAAATGCTATTTGCGAAATAAATAAATAAATGGCAAGATAATTCGGAACCAAGCAAAAATCATCACGCAAACTTATGATCCAGCTATCTGTTGTTCTCACAAGGTTTTTATTTCTGTCGTGCAGCGCTATTCAACTGGCGGCCCGTGGTCCGGAACTTCAATCCAGCCCACCAGTGACTTCATAATTTATTGATTTTTTGCATTCTGGGTTTGGGTTCTGTTTACTGCATATACGATTCATTGCAATAAAACAAACACATTTAAAACATAACAGATCATTGTAATACTTGGTTTATTTAAGTAATGGCTTTAATGGCTGGATGTCCGGCCCCTGAGCTGCTGGCTTTCAGAAACTTTGGCCCCCTGAACAGTTGTGTTGTTCTGCTGCGACTGCTGAGATGTTTGTTTCAACACAGAATGAGTTGGTCAGTGGTTACAGATCAGAAACTACTGTGTGGTGAGCCAAACCTCAGCAGTTGAATGACATTATTCACACTATTAAGTCTTGAGGAAAAAAATAAACTGTGATAAATCATGGGCTTGAGCTTTTAGAAAGTTTGCTCCGCAGATCTGCTAAATGGTTGTTCAGCTGTCAAAATTCTGTGCAGGTGTTTTAAAGTTTCTGTTATTTTAAGAGTAAAAATGCTTTTGAATAGTGCAACAGTTGTGATACCAACTTAAAGATGTTCAGCTTATGACAGGTTTGTAATTTCAGCTGTGGAGAGAGAAACAG